CCAGTGGCAGTAGTCCCAGGCCAGGTGCAATAATTCCTTTCTTTGTCGACTCTACCAAGGTCACTCGAGGTAGTGAGTCGGGGTCGACGGCTCGCTGCGTCGAAAGCGGAGCCGTCTCTGGTGCATGCAACGACTCTCTGCGTAGAAGACACCTGTACGCTCTATCTCTTGTCGCGCCGTGATCCACCCCGGTGCAACGATGGAGACTCATCGATACATTGATACAAAGGGTTGGTTGTGTTATTAGCACTTGCTACAACGACGACGCGCCGGTGAGAAGCCCAAACTCGGCGGCAAACGGCACATGGTCGTCGAGCGTGTTGCCTTTGGCTGGCAACGAGGCAGTGCCAGAGGTCGGCGACTTCATGCGGATGCCGAGGTCGTCCATGATCTCCATGGCCGCCAGCCACACCTCCGACTTGATGAGCGCGTGCTTCTTCGCATCGAGTTCGTCCGTGAACGTGTAGAGGCGGACGCGGTAGAGCTGTTCCATCGTCACAAAGAAGAGCTGTTTGGTCTTCTCGTCGCCATTGTAGTCTTCATGCGACGTCAGACCCATATGACGGGACTGCAGCATGAGCTCGAGGTCCGTCATGAGGCGCTGGAGAAGAGCCACGCTCGTGTGCGGATCAACGTCAATGTCCATCTGCAGCTGGCGCTTTGGGGCTTGCGAATAGTTGACCTAGTAACATCCATACGACAATATTGTACATCGTACAAGATTTGTACCATAGGTTTGTACAAAAAGTAGCTGTTGGGAATAAAGATCTTGGTGCTGTCGAGGCCAATGACGACCGTGTATCGCAGCGCAACGCGGCTCACGTGGCCTTTCACCGCGCCGATCTGGATGAATTGGTCGACTTTGAAGGGTGCGTTGAGCACGAGGTAGAGGCCGCCAACCGCATTGTGCGTCTACACTGCGCGCTCAGAATCCAGATCTGAAAATCGGACATTTGAAATGGGAGAGCCTACCGCGCCCACAAAGCCAAGCGCGATGGCACCACCAATCATGCCCAGAAACGAGTACTTGAGCAGCGTCTGGTCTTGCCACATCTGGAGGTAAATGTACATGGCTGCAATGACCATCACGAGCAGGCGAAGGAGCTACACCAAACGTCTTCCGGCATCAAGACACGCGACGCTACGTCGTACCTTGATCGACTCGGAGATGACGACGTTCTTGGAGCTCTCACCTTTGCCGCCAAACTTGCGGACTGCAAACTAAAGGTCGATAACGAAGCTGCAAGAGACCTCTGGCATCGCTACCTTGTCGACAACCACAAAGACGTAGTAGAGCCAGAGGAGGAAGAAGAGGCCCCAAACGTAAATGTGGATCCGGCACAGAAACTGAGAGAGCTTGCTGACTGTGAGCGCGCCCCAAATGAGCGTGCTGCACAGTAAGTACGTCGTCGACCAAATGCAATGGGCCTCGTAGTCCTCAATGACCCTAGCACCGTCGTCGGCGCATGAGCTCACCTCGACGACATCGGTAGGTGGGCCTACTCGCGCAGAAATGGAAACTTCTTGAGGATGAAGATGACGAGCCGCAGCAGCACGCGCGGCAAGAAGGACGCAAGGAAGACGAGCGCGCCGGCGAGGATGGCCAGCTCAATGTGGTTGTCCTTGAGGTCGATCCACCAGCCGCGGAGACACGTGAGCGACTTGCACGTCGACGACGCATTGCAGTCGGCTGGTGGGCTCGACGTCAGCGTCACTGCCGCCTGCGCGCCGACGGCGAGAAGCACGAGCAGCCGCATGGTCATGGTCATTCGTGTCTTGGCCCGTTGCCCGAGTTTGCCGAATAGATTCTCTTATTCAAGTACGCTGGCCTTTTTGTGCGAGTCGTGCCAGGGCCCAAGTTGCGTCGACAGGAACAGCGAGCGGGCAGTAGTCGATTCTACAGTCTAACTACCTCGGCGGCTTGAGACAGAGAGCGCTGCCTTCTACCAAGCACGCTGCGTGGTGCTGGCTCCCGTTGAGGAAGCAGGTTGATGTACTCGGATAAGGTAATGCGATGCCCCAATCGCCCAATCCCAACGCGCGCTGGCATGTCCGGATACGAGGGCCGAGGCGGTGTATCCGGCGGCCAAGCTGACTTGTGATCGCCATGGAAGCGTACCCGTCGGAGCTGCGCGAGGTCCCTTGCCCGCTCGTGGCTGCGCTCGGGCCCAAGGACATCCAGACGCGCATCCTCCCGGTGCTGCGCTCGGTCAATGACGAGTTCATTCCGCGCATTCACTTGACAAGCGCCAGCTACGAGCACCGCTTTGTGTTCCCGGCCAAGAAGGAAAAGACCGAGATGGCCAAGGCGCCGGCCAAGACTGGTATCCTCAAGACGCGCTGGCTCAAGAAGCACCACGAGCTGCTGCCGTCGCTTGTCCTCCTCTTCTACGCGTTCGAGCCGCGCCTCGCGCAGCGCGACTGGGCGATCCAAGAAACCGTCATCCGCGACGAAGTCGAGGATCTTCGGCGCAACCTCGCGGGCCGCGACTGCAAGATCTTGCTAGTGCTCGTGCAGCTGCTCGACGATGGCCCGCCGTCGAACGGCGGCAACGCGGACGAGCGGCTCGCGAGCCTCCGGAAGCGCGCCGAGCTCGACTCGAAGAGCGTGTATCTGCTGAAAGAGGCAAGTCGCACGTCGCCCATGATCATCAAGCTCGAGCGCGCGATCCGCGAGCATGCGATCGAGTACTACAAGACGCAGGCCAAGCGCGTCAAGAAGGCCAAGAAGCCGTCGCGCGCGATCGCGGTCCGCCATGGCTTCAAGGTCGGACACTACTACGAGTTCCGCCGCCATACCGCCAAGATGCTACAGCACTACGAAGGCGCGTACAAGGCACTGCTCGCGATGCCCATGACGAGCAACGACGCCGAGCCCGACGCGCACACGCAGATCAAGGCGGTCGCTGAGTTTCTCCACTTCAAGCTCGTGTACCACCACATCTTTTCGTCGCACAACCTCAAGCTCGCGATCGACCAGCTCCAGCGACACATGAAGGCCTTTAGCCGCGCAGTGGGCCCGCTCGACCGCGCGTACGAGCACTGGGCGTGGGTCTCGCGGCAGTACCACGTGTTTGGCCAGCTCCTCTTGGAGGCGCAGTCGCTCAAGCTTTCGTCGGCCGGCGTCGAGTCGGACCTGTACAAGGAACCGTACCTCTACTTTAGCGCGGCCGCCAAGTACGCGACGTGGCGCCGCAAGGCTGCGGCCAAGCTCGGCGTGAGCTTTGACCCGTCGGCGACTACCGACGGCGTCGTTGTGACCCCCTCCGCCTTTGTGGGCGGCGACCCGAGTTTGGCCAGCAGCGGTCCGACTTTGCCCGAGTGGCGCGCGCGGCTGGAAACGTGTGTACCGCAAGCTCACCTCGGGATCCGCCTCTTGGAGCTAGCGACGCAGTACCTCGTGCACTACCAGAGCAACCACATGCCTCGGCACCGGCTCAAGAACCGATTCTTGCTGCGGTTGGGCATCGAGCGGCTCGCGGCCAACGACTATCCGCAAGCACGCATCGATTTGAGCCGGGCTAAAGTCGCGTACAGCCAAGAGCGCTGGTGGGCGCAGGTCTCGCAGGTACTCAAGCAACTCCTCCTCTGCGCGTTCTACCAGCGCGACACGCTCGCGTATCTCGACTGCACGCTGCAGCTGCTCTCGCCCAAAGTCGAAGAGTTTGTGCCGCACGCCGAGCGGCTCACGCTCCAAGACGGGTTTGTCCACGCGTGGATGACGCCCAACGACGACGAGGTGCTACCCGAACCGTCCTACGAACTCGCGCTCGACCGGGCACGACCCGTCATCTACTGCGGCGTCGAATTTGCCAGCGCCGAGGCGTATGTCTGTGACAGTATGACGCTGACATTGACGCTCGAGTCGTCGTTGCCGGCACCGCTGACGATGACCAAGATCGCGGTCGTCTTTAGCGACGATCGGTACGACCAGATGCTGGTCCACGGCGACCAATGCGACTTGACGCTGCCGTCCAAAGCGCCGACGACCTTGTCGCTCACCATGACGCTCCTCCCGGACGGCGCGTCCATGCTGCAGTGCCACGAAGTACGTTTCGTGCTCGAGAACCCACGCGGCCAGAGCTTGATCTTGGTCGCGCGGACGTCGCGGCCGAACGTGCACATCCTCAAGCGCCGCAACAGCCTCGTCGCGTGGGACGGCGTCGTGCCCGGCATGGGCATGGGCGCCGGGTCGCCGAGCTTCCAGCGCTCGAAAGCCACCGAGTTGCTGTACGACGAGCCGGACGACGTTGGCGACGTCGGTAGTTTTGTGACGATTCTGCAGCCGCGCGCCCACGCGCGTCTCGATCTCGCACCCAACTCGCCGACGCACGTGCTCGTCGACGACCTTACGACGGTTGCGCTCATCTTGTCGTCGCTCGACGATGTCGTGGACACCGCGACGTACAAGATTGTGTGTGAACCATCGGTCGCCACGCTTCTCGATGCGCATTTGCTCTACGACGCGACGACCAAGGAGCCGCTGGCACTCGACGACGTTGGCCAGCCGACAAGTGTCTTGTCCCTTGCGTCGATGGCGCCGCAGACGACGCAGACGCTGCAAGTCGGGCTCAAGTGCGCCGTGCCGTGCTCGCTCCAAGTGCACATCACGGTCCAGTACACGACGGCGGTCGGCGTGACTGTGACGCTTGACGCGAGCTTTGCGTTCAACTGCAAGGCGCCACTGCAACTGACCGCGCTCGTGCACGCACCGTTTCCAACAACCGCGCGGCTGGCGCCGTCCGTCGCGACCGTCGGGCGGCCCGTGCACTTGTACGCGACCCTCTCGAGCGTGGCGCAGATGCCGCTCGAGATTCTCTCGGTCGACGCGTCGATGGCCGACGTCGTTGTTGTCGAAAGCCTTGTCGGTGGCGTCACGACCGGCTTTGAGCTTGGCGACGGAGACCAGCACAGCCTTGTTTTGCGGCTCGTGCCCCGCGCGATGCTGGCGCAAACGAGCGTCGGGTGCGTCCGCGTCCGATGGCGTCGGGCAACCGGTGACGTGGTCGTGTCGACGCTGCCGTTACCGCCAATGACGTTTGTCGTCGCGCCAGTGAGCGTCGACGTCGATGTCCCGTCGTTTGGCCGCGAAGGGCACCTGGCCCCGCTGCGTCTGCATACGACCAACCACACCACCGGCGTGCTCAAGGTCCAAGTGAAGCTCTCGAACGACTCGGACTTCCTCGTCTCGGGTACGAATATATGCGTTGGATACGAGATGCATGCAGTGGCTAGGTGTGACGGAGTGCTCGGAGGACGTCTTGCCGGGCGAAGTGCTCACATCCACTTTTGGCTTGATCCCGATGCAGTCGGGTACGAGGACTAGGGCCTTTTGCGGAGACTAATGCTCTCTGTAGGACATCTCAAGCTACCCAAGATGGAAGTGCTGCACGTCGATGCCAACGAGTGGATCGTGTCGGTGGACGAGCGCACCGAGCTCTACGTCGTACCCGCCAACTACACTGCCGAGATTACTGCCTAGTGGAATGGATTCTGCAAGTATCTCGCCGTAATTATAAACGCGATATTGTCTGTGTACTTGTGGACACTCTTGTCGCAGATCCCAAAGCACCAAGCTCTAAAAGAGGGCTGAGAGCGTGCCACGTCATGTGGCTAAACCCACGCAACGCTCCGGCCGTGAAATGAGCACTTAGATAATGCTTGCTTTCTATCATATCTGGGATTGCCGTTGGGCGAGCAAGATGTTGATGCGGCCGACGTACGACGTGGCATGCTCCGCGAGGCTCATGGCCGATGCCACCACTATGTAGGAGCACGCCCTCGGTGGATGGACCAGTTGTGCTTTGGCGCGGCTGGCTGCGCAAGCTCGGGCGCTTCAGGTATGCAGCTCCGCGTGGCAACGTGGTCGTGACGCAGCATGTAGCAAACGCTGGCAGCGTCGGTACTTTGTGTTTGTAAAGGGCACGGACGCCAAGGAGCTGCGCTACTACGGTCGTATCTCTGCCGTCATGCCATCGACGTGCTCATTGCATGATGCCTCGTAGACTCGTCCACGGCGACCCACCCGGAAGGTGTCATGTCCCTCGCCGACGCGACAGGCGTCTGCTACTTGGACGCTGTGCAGGTCTCTTGCCGTCACTCACTGCAACTCGTTTCCAACTGCGTTCGACAGGCACGGTCATCGTCGCCTGGCGAGGCCTCGTCGTCCGACCACAAGTTTGCCATCTTGACGGCCGAGGTAGGACGACGTGACGAATATGTATGCACGCCTACCCTAGAACGTATGGCTCTTGGGCTTCAACGACCACGACGTTGAGTCGGCGCAAGAGGACGGTTTGGCGCTTCTCGGGGCGCTCTCAGCCTTCTATCCGCTTGTCGACGTGTTGCATGCCGGGTATCTCTCCAAGCGGCGCGAGCGCACGGTGCAGAGGTGCTTTCTACTATCCAATCGATCCATGGATAGTGGTGGATACTATATGTTGTAATTTGTTAGTCCCAAGAGTATCATTGCCTACTGGAAGCGACACTTTTTTGTCTACTTGGCGTCCGGGGACCTGCTCTACTTCAACGACGACAGTCTCTCGACGCTTCAAGGTACGTCGATGCCATATGCGATAATGTACAACTTCGTCATAATGTCGTAGGACGCGTCGATGTCAAGCATGCGCCGACTGTGCGCGTCACGGGCGAGCAGCAGTCGCTTCTTCGCGCCAAGAAGGAAGCCGGCTTTTTCAAACTCACCAAGGCGCGCGCGTTGGAACACGGTAGCTGCCTCATTTGGATCGCGACGCCGCCGTCCAAAATGTACACTATTGTCTATAACTGCGTTGACGCTTGAGCGACGGGGTAGGTTTGTGCTGCAAGTTTACGACGAGAAGGATCGAGTCGCGGGTGTGTCGGCGAGTGCCAAGTACGCGCGCTGTTGTATCAACGTATCAATGCATCGGTCTAGGAAATGGCTGTCGCTGCTCTTGCAAGGCCACGCCGAAACCAAGTACGTGCAGCTCGAGCAGTGCTTTACGTCCAACAACTACGACCAAACGACCGAGGTGGTCTCGGCGCTGCGCGTCGGCATCCCAGACGAGCTCCGGGGTGCGCTCTGGAAGGGCTTCTCGGGCGCGTACGACGCCCACGCATCCGCCACCGCGCGGTCGCCGATCAACGCCTACACGAACAGAGCCACGAACGCGGTGATCGAAGCCATGGTGCTCGACCGGCTCCAGGCGCTGTCAGTTCATGGCGCCAAGCACCCGACCCGTCGAGGCAGCGACACGGACGACGACGTGCCGACAAGCGACCGCGGTGGCAAAAAGCCGTCGGCGTATCCCAGCGACGCGGTCGTGCCCGAGTGGGAACTCGCAAGTCGCCGCCGCCTCCTCGTCGCACTGGCTCGCTACAAGTTGTTCTGTTGTTTAGCGATACCATGTACAACTCACGACGGCTACGTAGACCGTACTGCCACCCGTGTCCATGGCGGGTCACGTGCCTCCTCTTGGCGTATCTCGACGAAGAGAGTGCGTTCTGGGTCGTCAATAGGTTGGGCGATCGACGTACGATCCCAAAGTATCAAAGTATCAACATCCGCCACTGTATAGCGTGATCGACCACATCTTGCCGGGGTACTTTCACGGGTATCGGCCAGCGCTCCTTGTCGACGGAGCGGTGTTTCGAGCGCTATTGCACGACCAAGCGCCGTCGCTCTGCTATCATTTGGAGACGCTTTGCTTTCCGCTCGATGCACTCGTCCAGCGCTGGTTCGTCTCGGTGTTTACCGCCACACAGCTCCCTCTCTCGACGGTACGACGCAGCATGATCGACAACTTGATTGAGGAGCGCAGGTGCTTCGTATTTGGGACCTCGTCTTTGCCCAAGGCCTGCGCATTCTGTTTGGCATTGGTGTCGCGCTGCTTCTCAAGACCGAGCACCACCTCTTTGGCGCAGCGAACGTGTCGGAGGTGTGGGCGGCGCTGCATGCGTCCGAGCGGAGCACGGTCGACGCCGATGGGCTCTTTGCTCACGTCTTCAAGGACGATCTGCACATGCCATGTATACCGTGGATGATATTGTCTATCGTGCCATTGCATATGGGGTTAGGGCTCACGGACGAGTTGCTGGCGCGGCTACGACAGCACGAGCGCTCAACGCTCTTGGCGTCGATTGCGAGTCGGGTACGAAGATTCTGAGGAGCAACATATGCTGAAGAGCTCGCGCGTAGATTGCCAGCTGCCATGCCAAGCTGAGCGTGTTGAACCGCGCCCAAGAAACGTACCAGTCGCTGCTCCAAGCCGTCGACATCTACGACGAGCTGGGCAACCGTACGGATCTTGTGTCGTGATGGGGAATGACGGGAGTGGGTAGAGGAGGTCATGGGCACTCTTCGTCGCCAGCTCGGTGACGCGGACGCGAGTGCCATGGAGTTGGCGGTCGAGTTCAAAGAGTACCAAGCGCGGTGGGTCGCCTTGTCCAGCCAGGTGGCTGCGTGTCCGCTGGGGCTCCACGGCCACGCATCGGACGTCCAGAGCTGGCTCGCGCAAGTCAAAGAAGGCAAGATCTCGGGGGCCGGGACCGACGCCGCCGCCAACCAAGCATTCGCGTGTCTCTTTCCGTCGGCCGCGCCGCTGCCCGACCCGTTTGAGCTCTCGATCGACACGATGGCAGGTGCGGCGCCAGTGGTGGCCGACACGAAACACCTCTCTCTGTCTCTAGAGCGCTTCTTGCTCGGGCTTGTCATGGTCGCCAAGAGCGCGTGCGCGGCGCGACTGCATTTTTTGGCCGCGCGCCAAGTCGCATGGTGGCATCGCGGGCAGTGGCTTGCGACCGTTTGCGTCGAGAAGAAGGCGTTGGTCTCGGACGCCAGCGGTGGCCTCGAGCCAAAAGACTATGGCGTCGCTGAAGGTCAATTCCTCGAGCGCGCCGAGCGTCTCCAAATGTGCCTGCAGCATTTTGCGACTGCCGACGGCGGACCGCTCCAAGCAACGGCCGAGGTCATGGCAGGGGACCTCAAGGAGAGCTTTTTGCGGGTCGAGTGTGCGATTCGAGGCCCGGCCTGGCTTCCGTAGTCTTTTCTTCCTTCTTCATTCAGTCAATGTACACAGATGCTGATGTCTTTGCTCTACTACGTCAAGCGGTCGGACAAGGGATACGGTGATCGTTGCATAGCGCGACTTTTCACCTTTGGCGTTGCGTTGCGTGCTTAGGCAACGTCAGCAACTAGGGTTGGGGTCTCACGAAGCGTTTTGTAGCCGGTGCGGAGCAGGGACTTGACGCTCAGCTGCCCTTTGAACCGACGGCCGGACGAGGCCGACGATAAAACGTCGTATGTCGTGGGTCGGCGACGTGCTTGCGCGATAGCTCGGCATGTCGCATGCGCTGAATGTGACGCGATTCGAGCGCTCGGTTGCACGGACTGGCTACCAAGAGTGCCCTGTCAGCGCTTGAATGCGTCATGTTCACTTGGGTTCGGTCGCTACCGAGGCGGCAGGCGATAGAAACAGTCGCCGCACGGGGCATCGTGCTACACTCCCACAGCTATACAAGATACGACCGGGAGCTACGTCGGGATACCTCAAAAAGCGAAGCTACTCGAGTCCCTTCAAAGCCGATGTGCGTTCGTAGACGGTGCTACGATGGACTACGACCGCTCAGCTAGCCTACAGTACGAGGAGGACTATGCGTAGCCTACAGTACGAGGAGGACTATGGACCCCCCACGTGGACGTGCAAGGCCACGAAATCGTCAGGTCATGACACGACAGGTTGTCCGCAGAGCAATCAAACGCAGCCGTTTTTTTCGCGTCCGATTGTCCCGTATCCGGCTGATGATGGCCATCGCATCCGGATACGGATATTTCTCCGCCAATCAGATCGGCGCCGCCAGCCACATCGACCATCTCGACACTTCCCAAGACGCCGCTGCGAGAGGATCGAGATGCTCTCGCTGGAGAAGAACCGCCACGACATGATCGCGGGCGCAATCGCGGGCTCCGTCACGGCCAGCATGTGCTGCCCGCTGGACGTCGCCAAGACGCGCATCCAGGCCCAAGGTACATGGCGTCCCGTCTCCAATGGCTCATGTCGCGGCAGGCGGCGTCTTGGCGTTTAGCAAGTACAATGGCATCTTCCGCAGCGTGCACACGATCTACGTCGAAGAGGGTGTCCGTGGCATGTACCGCGGCTACTCGGCGGCGATGCTGAGCTTCCCCGTGTACTTTTCGCTCTACTTTCCGACGTACGAGTGGGTCAAAGCGCAGTTCAACACGACCGCATTGAGCAACGTACGCAGCTTCACGACAGGCGCCTCCTCTCTCACGCGATTCTTTGAATAGAGCCCGCTCATCGTGCAAGCCGCGTCGGCGACGATCGCAGGCACGGCCATTGACACGGTCACGTACCCGCTCTGGTTCCTCCGCACGCGCATGCAGACGCAGCACATGCACCAGCTTGCGGCCTCGCACGGGCGTGACTCGTACTCGAGTAGCATGTGTCCTGGTCTCTCGAGGTACTCATAATGAGATGCAAACGTAGCGCTGCGGTCCACGATCGTGTCGATCTACCGCACCGAAGGGCTCGGCGCATTCTACAAGGGTCTCTCCGCGTCGGCAGTTGGTATGTGAATATACGATTTTAGCGACTCGAGTGGCCACGTCATGACCACCTAGGTATCCTCAGCTACGGCATCCAGTTTCCAGTCTACGAATCCATGAAGGCGCGTATCGCTGCAGCCGAAGGTGTCGAGAACGACAAGGTACTACCCTCTACTGCCTTCTCGCCGTGACGCCTGCGACGTGTAGCCATCGGCCTCCGGTGTCGTCCTCTCGGCGATCGTGTCCAAGACGATCGCGTCGTGCTTTGCGTACCCTGGCGACGTCGTTCGCGTGCGCATGCAGGACACTGTCGGGCGCCACAGCGAGTACAAGCACTTTCTCGATGCCATGGCCAAGATCGCGCGCAAGGAAGGTGTGCGTGCGCTCTACGCTGGCTTCCACGTCAACACGCTGCGGATTCTGCCGCAGTGCGCCATCACGTTCTTCTGCTACGAGTACATCAAGAGCGGGCTGGCGGCGGCCGACGCGCTCCCGCACTGCCTCCCGCACGAAAACGCACTGGCCTAAGCTCACACTTCGTTGCGATGGCGCCACGTCATCGGGCCATATAAATAGAGCGGGTAATAAAATAAACAGGCGCCCATTTAAATGAATTAAAGAACCGGGCGGGGGGTCGGACTTTTTTTTAAAGCACGTGCTTTGCCGTCGAGCGCATACAAACAGCAAGTGTATGTGGGGTTGAAGAACCGTCTTTTTTTAATACGGCCAGGGCCGGGTGGTCGGTATTTAATAGCCAAAGTTTAAATCTCTATACAAAATGCAAGATCGGGGTGCGCAATAGTATAAACGCAGCGGTCGGTCACTGGCTCTGTCATGTGCCACCACTCACATTTTTCGTTTGCCGCTACACGAAGCATGGCGTCGGCCCTCGAACCCATCGACGTCGATGGCATCATCGACAAGCTCCTGAGCGTACGTGGCGCCCGCCCCGGCAAGCAGGTCAACCTCCTCGAGAGCGAGATCCGCGCGCTCTGCCTCCACTCGCGCGAGATCTTCCTCTCGCAGCCGATCCTTGTCGAGCTCGAGGCGCCCATCAAGATCTGCGGCGACATCCATGGCCAGTACTACGACCTGCTTCGGCTATTCGAGTATGGCGGCTTCCCGCCGGACGCCAACTACCTCTTCCTCGGGTACGCCCATGCGGCGAAACGCGTTTGTGGTCGGCGAAACGAATGCTAACGACCATCGTAGGGACTATGTCGACCGCGGCAAGCAGAGCCTCGAGACCATCTGCCTCCTCCTCGCGTACAAGATCAAGTACCCGGAGAACTTTTTCATCTTGCGCGGCAACCACGAATGCGCGTCGATCAACCGCATCTACGGCTTTTACGACGAATGTATGCGCGCTGGGAGAGAAGGCGCAATAAGATCTGATGGCAAATGTAGGCAAACGCCGCTACAACATCAAGCTCTGGAAGACGTTCACCGACTGCTTCAACTGCCTCCCGGTCGCGGCGATCGTGGACGAAAAGATCTTTTGCATGCACGGCGGCCTCTCGCCCGAGCTCAGCCAAATGGAACAGATCAAGCGCTTTGTGCGCCCGACGGACGTGCCCGACACGGGTCTTCTCTGCGATCTGCTCTGGTCGGACCCGGAGAAGGACATTCTCGGCTGGGGCGAGAACGACCGCGGCGTCTCGTTTACGTTTGGCCCCGATATTGTTAGTCAGTTTCTCAAGCGCCACGACCTCGACCTCATCTGCCGCGCGCACCAAGTCGTCGAAGACGGCTACGAGTTCTTTGCCAAGCGCCAGCTCGTGACGCTCTTCTCGGCGCCCAACTACTGCGGCGAGTTTGACAATGCCGGCGCCATGATGTCGGTCGACGAGTCGCTCATGTGCTCGTTCCAGATCCTCAAGCCGGCGGAGAAGAAGCAGCGCTTTGCATACCAGGGCATGGGCGGCGCCGGCGCGCAGCGGCCCGCAACGCCGCCGCGGAAGTAACGACGAGACCACCAGTCGATGCTAGCTTCGCTTCTATGCCACTTATATATGCTGACTTGGATGACGCAGCGTGTGTCACGCTTCCATTGCAGAAAGGACAGGACGACCAGCGTCCATGTGCACTAGATTTATTTCATGGTTCATTGCTGGAGCAGCTCGGTCTTCCAGGCCTGGAGCAGCTGGCGCAGGCGCGGCTCCCACCGCTTGATGGCGTCGACGCCCTTCTTGCCAAGGTCCAAGCCGCCACTCGACGAGACGTGGATCTCGTAGTCTTCGCCGTTCGTGTCTTCAAAATCGTGGAGCTTGACGTGCCCGCTGGCTGTGGCGCCATCGGCGTCGGTGCACGTCCAAGCAAACTTGACGTCGAGCTCGTACCCACAGCGCTTCTTGCCGCGGCTATAGACAATCTAGAAGAGCGATACAGGAGCATGTCACGTGGTATGATGCATCTACCTTGGTCTCGCCCGTGCACGTGACAATGTCTTTGGCAACGACGCGGAGAGCATGGCTCGCGTCGTCAAATGCAAACCCGTCGAGGATGTGGCGCTTCAAGGCCTCGCGCGCCCACTCGGACTTGTCGACTTCTTCCCTACGCAATGCGCCATTGAGCCAACGACTTATGGATGCAATAAGGCGGCGAACCACGTGCCACCGGCGTTCCATGCCGACCCGACGGCGTTGTCGACGACCGGCGTCGAGATGACCTTGGGCGTAAAATCCTAGCGCGGCCATGAGCCATGATGGTGCCAAGCGTGATGGCACTACCTCGCCCGTGCGAGCCACCGACTTGAACCAGCCATGGTACCCGTCATGGAGCTTCCCCGGGCTCGCTTCGTCGTCGCTCATCTTGCCAAATGAGCGGCCGCGTCAAAGCGGAAATTTCTCGAATCGAGCGTTTTATCCGGAAGCATATCCGGAAGATACGTAATTTCGGAGCTTTTGTCGTTTTGGGTTCGTACATTTCACGTTTGGGATGACGTGGCACGCCACGACGCATGGGGCATTCCCGTTGTGCGATGGTTCCTGTCGCCTGCAACGACGTGTGGAGCTGCCACGTATCCGAGCTCCCTCCAATTCATCCCTGGCTCCCATGTCCGAGGTCGGCGCAAGTGCATCTCGTAGTGAGAAGGCCGTCGTAGCATCGTCCGAACAACCCTAAAGGACCGAGACGAACGTTGTTCCTGCGCCGCCCAGTTGCTGTCGAGACAGTGTCGATGGTGCTGGATGCGGTACCACCTACATCACTCCTGCTTCACACAACTTTTGTCCCGCGAGAGCCAAGCCTCTTGGCCTTGGCCGTGTACTATGCAGCAGCCGAGCCTGTTCTCGCCCACAACTCATCTTCCTCGAGACCGAACCTTCGTACCGACACGGCGTCCACTGCCGCCTTTCGTATCGCCGTTGCAGCTCTGCGTCGAGCTTCCTTCAACCTCCAACGACTCGTCATCTAGAAAAAGACAAACCCTGTAGCGCACTACGACCAAACGACACAGACTCGAGCCATTCTCACCTACCCCTACTGCGATGCAGACCGAGTGCTCGTGTGGCGTTGCCGAGCGCAAGGCAGCGCATAAGGTCTGTGGCTCGACAGCCACGATCAGCGACCCGTCGGGCGATGCGATCTCGGTTGGGCGACTCGCATCTGGCCTGCTCATACCAGCTCGGTCGCCAACGACATCGGCATTTGGACCGGCGAGCATACTCGACACCACATGTAGCATTAAATAATAACAGCTTTCCTAGGCCAAGGCGTAGAAACTCGACTTGCCGCCGGACCGCCCCGTATTTGTCTCTTCCAGCAGCGGGATGTGCTTGAGATGGGAATTCGTGCTCGTGGCCGAGAGGAGGCTCACATCGCTGGCTGTGCGCTTGAAGTACAAGGTGCCCGGCGGCTCAATGTCGACCTCGCAGCGCGTGTTTTTCAAAATGTAGTCGCAGTCCATTTGCTGGAGGTTGCCGACAAACGGGAGGTTCTTGTGCAGAGCGTCCTTGATGTCCTCTTTTGCGACGCGGTGCAGCGACCGAATGAGCTGCGCGATCGTCGGCCGCTGCGTCGGGTCGACTTGCCAACACATCGAGACGAGCACCTTCCAGCGCGGTGGGCACGAATTTGCGATGATCGTCGGCCGCTTGCCTTGGACAATCGCGGCTTCGATCTGGTGGTTCCACCGAATCTCGTCGTACGGCAGCTTCCGGCCGTCAATGAGCTCCCAGAGAATGACGCCCAGCGAATAAATATCAATCTTCTCCGTGTACTGCTTGTTGCCCTTGATGACCTCGGGCGCCATCCAGCGGGTCGTGCCGACAAGACCGGTCATTTCCGGTGAGACATGATGGTTCTGGCTCCGGACGATCTCGGCGAGGCGGAGCGTACCAAAGTCGGCAATCTTGGCGTGCCACGTCTCGTCGACAAGGATGTTGGGGCTCTTGAGGTCCCGATGGATCATCTGCGAGTTGTGTAGGTACTGCAGCCCGTACGCGAGGCCGAGCGCAAGCCGGATCTTCATGGGCCAAATGATGCTGCGGCCGTTGAGTGCATAGGCATTGGAGAGCACGTCGCGGAGCGACCCCCGCGCGCAGTACTCGGAGATGATACAGATGGAGCCTTGGTAGAACCCAGCCTCCATGAAGAGCACAATGTTGGGGTGCGTGAGCCGCTTCATGACAATGGCCTCTTGCTGGATCTCGACGTTGCACTCGTGCAAGAACGCTGGGTCAAGCGCTTCGTGGTTGTTGTCGAGGAGGAGCATCTTCATCTTGACCGCGACGACCGCGCCACGCCACTTGCCGCGGTAGACAACTGCGAGGCCTTGGCCAATCTTCTCGCCAATCTCGAGCCCGTGCAGCTCTTGCGTCGGCGAGAGTGGCGGCGCGGCCTCGTCTGCCTTGAGCGTCGGCGGCCGGTAGCAGTTGACTTTGGATAAAAAGACGATGCAGTTGCCAGTCGGCCAGAGCGCAAACAAGATCGACGAGATGTTGGCAAACGCGTCGTCGGGCGTCGGCGTCGGCGCGCCGGTGGCAAAGAACCACACGTCGTTGGTGAGATTCGGCGTCACGAACGCTAGGAAGATGAGCATGTAGCCGAGGAGCTTGCCCATGACGACGCTTTGCCCTAGCTGGCCGGACCGAATCTTGTGTGCACGGAACGAGCAGAGCGCATAGAGGACGGTCACGAGCGCGATGAGCGCGAGCGTGTCCCAGACGACACGTGCAATCAGAGGCACCTGCTGGGAGCTGGACTCGAGCGCGTAAATCTCGAGGGCCGCGTAGAGCAGCGTGAGCGACCAGATCGCTGTGTGCGTAAAGATCATGGAGAAGTCGCCGCGCTGGTTCTGCCGAAACAAGATGTACAAGGCGAGCGCGATCGACCAGAGAAAGGACGATATCTCGAGGCTCCAGTGCGGCGCCTTGAGGAAGACGTCAATGGGCCACGACGGCGGCGCGTTGCGCAAGGCGAGGACGTTGGCAATCGCGCCCGTCAACGAGAAGCCGACGTCGCTCAGCGCGCGGTAGAAGATGAGTTTGGTCGAGAGGGCCGTGGTGTGGCGGATGCGCAGGAGCATGTACGAGGCCGCGACCGTCGACACGACCTGGCAGATGAGCGTCGCCGTCGTGAACATGCGTCTCGTGTCGTCCGTGGGCATCGCTTCGTCGGTCCTGCCTTTCTGCTGGCTCGCACGTATCGACTTTCAGAGGTTTCCCAAGCGCCAGGAGCGTTTCCGAAAACCAGCTGGCGTCGCCAGGCTTCTGCGCCGGCGCGTCACCAAGCACCACACACACACACGGACATTGCCCACCGACGAGCATCGGCCAACGACGACAGCCTCCTCTAAAAGGTACTATACTTGTATTTACTATGAAGATTACCAGCACTACAGTGTAGTACGGCGCAGGCAGTCGACCTGTGGACCCATCTCTCAATACCACGTCACGCGTTCTTGCTTGCCCAAACCTCTCAAACTTGATACTGAAAGACAGGCCGCATGACTCACTTGCCTTGCAGTCGCCGTCGTCGTCGCCATCGTCGCTGGGCACCGCATCGACTCGTCGACTTGTAGTCGCTTAGCTTGACTGGACACGTCTTCCTACGAGCCGCTGCATTTGCATTCGTCATTCTGTGGCCAAGCGTCTCGTGTGTTGCAGCGTTGAGTGATATCCTCGTAGCGTGAAGGATTACATATTGAGCGTTGGCTTATTGAAAGCTTAGAGCGATCGAACGAGTAGAAGGGACGGACGAACGGGCACGTCGTCATGTCTTGGCGCCACACGCGTGCGTAACTGCGACCTGCTGCGCGTCGAGAAGGGTCTTAGTAGAATTGTTTTAGTCGATGGCGCCGACTCGAGTCCTTCGAGCGTGGGTGCGAGCTTGAAGCAGCGCCGCCTCTACGTCGACTAGCCTCAAAGACAGTTTTTATTTGCAACGTTGAAGGGCGCCATTTTTATTTGGTCCGGATACGGATGTTGTATCCGGAGGCCGGCTGCCGGCTATTTCGAGCTGCCACAACGAATATCGGAGCGAGGGGCCAAGACGACGGGAGGAGCATGGTCCGGTTCAACGCGATCGTGGGCCATGAGATTGTGAGCTCGGGCGGCTCCAAGCACACGGTGTACATCCTCGAAGTCCAGATCGACAACATGAGCTACGTCGTCAAGCACCGGTACCACGAGTTCAAGGAGCTCCACGACACGGTATGGCTCGTCGCGCTCGAAAATGCCATTTAGCCGCTGCGTAGCTCGTCAAGGAAGGCTACAAGTGCACGGCCGTGCCGCCCAAGAAGTTTATTGGCAGCCTCAACCCCGAGTTTGTGCACAAGCGCCAGCTCGAGCTCAGCGTGTGGCTCCAGCAGCTCTGCGCGTGGGATCCGACGTCGCCGTACCCGAACCCGCACAACAGCGAAGCGCTCAAGGTCTTCCTCCTCGAGCACGTACGACCGCTCTCTTCTATCTCTATGGCGTCGCTCACTGCATGTGTAGAAGGAGCCGCGGACGACGCCGCCCTCGGACACGAGCGCCAACTGTGTGCCCAAGCCGCAGGCCGCGCCCAAGGTCGAGTACGTCTCAAAGGCGTCGTCCGAACTCGAAGACAGCGCCGAGTTTGACAAGGAGGCCAACATGGAGGACGAGATCACGCTGTACAACACGCCCAAGACGCGCCTCGACGATTTCGAGCTGCTCAAAGTCATTGGGAAGGGGTCGTACGGCAAGGTGACGCTCGTGCGGAAGAAGGACTCGAAGAAGCTGTACGCGATGAAGACGTTGAGCAAGCCCAACGTCAAGCGACGCAACCAGGTCGAGCACACGCGCACCGAGCGCCGCGTCCTCGGGCTCACCAAGCACCCGTACATTGGTACGTCCATGTCTCCTCTGCCATTTCTGATTCGACCGCATTAGTGCACTTGCATTACGCGTTCCAGACAGCGCAGAAGCTCTACTTTGTCATCGACTACTGCCCCGGCGGCGAGCTCTTCTTCCATCTCTCGCGCATGGAGCGCTTCTCCGAGAGCATGGCGAGCTTCTACGCGGCTGAGATTGTGCTCGCACTCGACCACCTCCACCAGCTCGGCGTCGTCTATCGGTAGCCCGTCGTATATCGCATTGGGCTCACCGAGGCGTAGGGACCTCAAGCCCGAAAACATCCTCTTTGACGCGACGGGCCATGTGCTCTTGGGTACGTTCCTTGTACTAGCTCGTGCGTCTCATGTCGACGGGCGTAGCCGACTTTGGCTTGGCGAAGGAAGGCATCACGGACGGCGCAGAGGGCACCAACTCGATGTGCGGCACGCCCGAGTACCTCCCACCGGAGATCCTCGACCGCGTCGGCCACGGCACGTCGGTCGACTGGTGGGCGCTCGGCATGGTCCTCTACGAGATGCTCACGGGCCTCCCGCCGTGGTACACGCGCAACCGCCAAAAGCTCTTTGAGCGCGTCCGGAACGCGCCGTTGACGTTCCCCGACTATGTATCGGCGCCGGCGCAGTCGTTGATTGCCGGTCTTTTGAATCGCAACCCGAACGAGCGCCTCGGCAACAAGAGCGCCAAGGACATTCAGGTCCACCCGTTCTTTGCGGCCATCAACTGGGACGCGCTCTACGCGCGGGAGCTGCCCCCGCCGTTCAACCCGTGCGCCAACATCAACCTCGAAGAGACCAAGAACTTTGAGGCCGAGTTTACAAAGATGCAGCTCAACTCGGTGCCGGACGCGACCGTCATGGGCGGCTCGTACAACCGGTCGTCCGACGTCCGCGGCTCGATCACGTTCCAAGGCTTCACGTACAACACGCCCAGCGACATGAACAACATGGGCATCGAGTCGACGCGTGGCTCGACGCTGACGCAGTTTTAGCAATCACGTTTCGAATCTACTCGTCGTATGTGTGCATCGTATTGTCTATTGTTTGTCGATCATTGCACGCACAATATTGTCTCTGTACTCTACCAGTCCTTGGGTGCCCAACGTGTCGTGATTGACGGGGAAGTCGCAGCATCGTGGTGTCGACATGCCGCCTGTCTGAGCTGAACGTTTCTCCGAGTGCCACGTCATGGAGGCCACCAAGGGTCCACCTGCCCGCGCCACGTACTACATGCACCATTATTGTTGACAGTGCTTTTGGCCGTCGACCAACGTCCTTGCCCGATGCTGGCCTGTCGGCCCCGCACGACGCCGGCGTCGCCAAATACCGGATACGGTCGCCTGTCGCATCCGCATAGGCAATGTGGCGACCATTGGCGGCGAACCGCGCCCGCTCGGTGGTGCACCTGTCGACGGCAGCGACGAGCGCCGACGGGGTGACTTCGATCAAGAAGATCAAGAAGGTTCGCTTCAAGAAGGACCACGACTATGGCCCGCCGCCCGAGGCGTCGACGTTCCCGCCGTACGTGCCGCGCGATTTCTTTCGCTTTGAAGTGCTGCACGAGTCGACCAAGTCGCGGGCGCGCGTCGGGCGCATTCATACGCCGCACGGCGTCATCGACACGCCAGGGTTTGTCCCCGTCGGCACCAACGCTGCGCTCAAAGGTCGTCCTATTCTCCACATTGCCCTTTGCTCACTGCGAGAATTTATTAGGCGTCACGCAGCGCGAGGCCGACGCGGCCGGTGTCCAGCTCATGTTTGCCAACTCGTACCATTTGCTCTTGCAGCCGGGTCCGGACGTGATTGGCGGCGCCGGTGGCTTGCACACCTACATGAACCGGACGCGGCCGCTCATCACCGACAGCGGCGGCTTCCAAGTGTTTTCGCTCGCGTATGGCTCGGTACACGAAGAGCTGACGATGAAGGGCGCGGGCCGCAGCCACGGCGGCAAGTACCGCGAAGGACCATCGACGGTCGCCAAGATCAGCGAAGACGGCGTCGACTTCAAGTCGTACCGGGACGGGCGCAAGGTGACGCTGACGCCCGAGTCGAGCGTCCAAATTCAAAAAGCGTACGGCGCCGACATTATCATTCCGTTTGATGAATTGCCGCCGTACCACATTACGCCCGAAGCGCTCGTACAACTTGTTTCTTATTTTTGAAACGGCTGATGACGTGGCATCGTACTAGGCGCTCTCGGTCAAGCGCACGCACCGCTGGGAGGCCCGAAGTCTGCGCGAGCATCTCAAGAACGTTAAGAACCAAGCCATGTATGGTGTCATCCACGGCGGCGTCGACTACGACCTCCGAAAGCAGAGCATCGAGTACATTGCGTCCTTGCCCTTTGACGGCCATGCGATCGGCGGCAGCATCGGCAAGAACCGCGACGAAATGCTGGACCTGCTCACGTACGTGGCGCCGCAGCTCCCGCGCGAAAAGCCCATTCACTTGCTCGGAATCGCGGACGAGCCGTCGCTCCACGGCTGCGTCCCGCTCGGCATTGATACGTTCGACTCGTGCTACCCGACGCGCGCGGGCCGCCACGGCACGGTCTTTTCCAAGACACTCGGGCGCATCCAAGTCACCAAGGGCAAGTTTGCCTCGCACCACGGCCCAATCGACGAGAGCTGCCGCTGCCCCGCGTGCAAGGAGCACAGCGTATCGTACATCCACCACCTCTTCAAGGCGCACGAGCCCACAGGCATGATGCTCGCGACGCTGCACAACCTCTACTACATGACGTCGCTCATGGAGCGCTTCCGGTCCGACATTCTCGCCAATAAGATCTAGTAAAGTATAGACGCGCAACTTCAACGAGGTATACGCTCGGCAATGCGTACAGCGCAAAGTATCCAGTGAAATGCATTCAACGACTTGCTGGCGAGAAGATAGTAGCATGTGGATAGTGAATCGCCTTTGGATAGTGGATGATGGATTGAACAACGCATTGCGGCATCGTTGCGCTGACGACTGTCCCATTGTCATTTCTCAACAAGTGCAAAGTGGCGCCAAGTGCAAAGTGGCGTCGGACGTCTATCCATCCACTCCTCTTGACCGATCTCAAACAATCCAAGTCTCCAGGATAGGCCGGCGAGGTCCCATGCAAAATGGTATGGTACATTGGATTAATCCTAACTTGGTCTAAGTGTACTATTCGATCAAAGTAGTATCGATCTAGCGCATGCGGTTGTACGGCGCTTGCATCATGGGCACACCAATCTCGGAGCCCGCAGGTTCGTTGAACGTGCCGAGTTCCATGTCGATCGGGTCCGGGTCCTCGGCCTTCTTGTGCTTGCGCGCTTCGTGGCGCTTGTGGAGGACGCCGGTGGCGCTGAGCGTGTTGAAGAGGAGGAACTGCCGCGCGTAGTAGATGAGGTACCCGATGCAGCCGAGGAGCCGAATGCCGTTGAAAGCCGCGACAAACGCGTACAAGAACGGCAGGAACGAGTCGGCGCCGACCGTGTTGACGCAGATGATGACCATCGACATGTTGGACATGACCCACACCAGCAGCAAGTTGGACCGGAACGAGTCGAAGCGCTTCTTGAGCTCGTCTTGGTTGCGCGCGTCCTCGGCCTTCTTGGCTTCGAGCGCTTTTTGGCGCGCAACGATGTCCTTGTACTGGCCGACGGCCTCGGCTTTGTGCGTCTCGTGGCCCGTGTCGATGCCCTTCGTGCCCCAGCTAAGGTCGTGCAAGTTGCAGAACGAGTAGACCATGAGGATGTTGACAAAGCTCGGCATGAGCGCCGTGTACTGCACGAACGTGAGCACGATATGGTGCACTTCACAGTGCAATGCCGACCCGATGAAGAACGTGCCAAGGATGAGCACCGCAAGCACAATGGCCGTGACGTCTTTCGACGACGTGATGAAGATGACGATCGCAACCGCGGACGCGAGCAGCATGAGGAGGCCAAAGAGCACCGAGATGAGGTAATGCGTGCCTTTGACGTGCTTGGGCTTATTGCCGAGCCCAATCGTCACTTGCGTAAAGACCGTGACCGCGTAAAAGACGTTGAACGCTGTCGGAAGGCCGTCGAGGACCCACTTTGGGTAGTCGGACGTGTCGATAAAGTTCCAGCGGTTGTCGCGGAAGCCTTGAAAGATGACAAAGTACAAGGCGAGATAAAAGTTGGCCGGCAAAAACCACGAGAAGAACACTTGGAGAATGTTGTAGATGTACTGCACGAGGAGCGCGAGCTTGCGCGTGAGCGAGTGGTTCGACTCGGTGTAGACGCGGCCCCAGTTCAAAATCGCAAACACGAGCGCAAAGAACGACCCGTTGAGCCAGCGCCGGCGCTGCCCCACGAGGTCGATCAAGTTTGTCGGCACGTCCGTGCGCGCGATCGCGTCCTTGACGTAGTGCATCGTCCAGTTGCAGTCTTTGCGCGCAAGCAGCTCGAAGCACAGGATGCGATCTTCGGCGAGGTACATGTTGCCGGCGAACGGCCCGAGCTCGGCCATGTCGGTCGTGAGACTCTTAAAGTACGCCTGCAATGGCGCACCGCGGATCGCCTTGTACCGGTAGGCGGAGAACGCACCGGGCAGCACCGAGATGAAGCCAAAGCACGACTCGAGCGACTTGTCGAGGATGTTGGAGATCTTGTACTCAAAGTGCTGCGCGGCGATGACCCAGTTGCACATGTTGGGCAACGGCTTGTCGACGGCGATTTCACCGCAGACACCGCCGATCTGCGCGTTGATTTCGAGCGCGGTGAGGAGCTTGTAGAACGACGACTTGGTCGGCATCGTGCCCACATCGAGGAGCACCGTGTAGTCGGGCATGATCTGCTCGGCAAACGCGTCAAAGTACCAGAGGTGCGAGTCGAGCTTCCCCGCGTTGTTCTCCTTCAGTGCAAACGCGACTTGAAGCGGCGGGAACCGGATCGAGTTCTCCTTGGTCATTTGAAGCGAGTGCTCAAAGAGGTGGCACTGCACCTTCACGCCGGTGGACGTGATGTTCATGACGTCTTCGTCGTACAAGCCGACGTTCGAGAGCCACTCGAGCGTGCCCTTGTTGGCTTTGGTCCGGCCGTCCGAGACGACGACGACGAGCACCTGCTTCCACGCATCGTCGCCTTCGTAGCCCGGGAGGCTGTGCTGCTTGAGGTACAGGACGTTGTTGCACACCTTGCGCAGCGTCGACCGAAGCTCGTTCTCATCTTCGTTGTACATGGTGATGACGACCATGAGCCGCGGCCGGCGGCCGCTCTGGATGCACTGGAGTCGGTACCCAGTCTCCGTAAACGCTTTCGGGCCCGAGCACACCGGCGTGTAAAACATCATGCGCGCTTCGGTCTCGTCGAGGTCCGGCGAGTTCATTGTGCGGTCGTACGTGACTTCGACGGCCATTGGCTTGGCGATGCGGACGGGCGGCGTCGACGTGTTGTAGCGCTCGATCCACTCGGCAAGGTGCTCGGCCCACTCGAGAACCTCCTTGCCTTTGTGGAGCAGGAGGTTGCGGACTTTCTGAGACGCTTCCTTCTCCGCGGCCGTCACAATCATCTCGCCACCGTCCAAAAAGTGCTTGAGCGCTTCGCGGAACCGGCCTTCGTTCTCAGCTTGGATGGCGCGCTCAATGGCGCGGAAGGCGTCGTCGATCGTAAAGGACGTGCTCTGCAGCAAGAGCTGCATCGCGTTCGAGCCCTTCATGCTCGCCTCCTTGGCCGAGATGGGCGCGATGTTGGAGAGGAAGGTCGGCTGCGACTTGGGCGGCGCTTGCATCATCGGCATCATGTTGTACTCGTAGTCGTACTCGTACGACGAGGCGGCGGACGGCACGTTGGACGCACGGCTGCTCACGCCTTTCCGCGGCCCGCGCGGCTTGGTGTTGTTGGGGTTGTTGGACGGGCGCGCGGCAGGCGGTGCATAGCGGCGGCCGCTGGCCTCGGTCGGGCGCTTGGGTGGCATCACGTGTACGCGACTGGTACTTGGACTGCCCCAAAGGACTGTATATGGATACTGGGCATGCGTGGCTCGTGGTGGTGGCGGACGTCTGCAGCAGCAGGGCTCAGGCGCGTAGAGTTGGGGCAGCAGCCGATGAAAATTCGCAGTGGATGGCACGACCATCTGCACGTCGCCGACGAGCCCTCTGCCACAGTGAGGCAGCTTGTCATTGATGGCCATCATCCGGATGTTGTCGTGGCTTGATATAGGGTTTGTATGGTCAAGTATCCGGAATGATGGGCAACCGTCGCAGATCGGGAATTCCCCGTAAATTTTCATTGCAACAACTTGTCTAAAGTATAGGTTCGGCCGACCACCTGCCGCCGCCGAGTTCATATCCCAGATTTATATACACTCGGCATCGCACGAGATCACCGAGTTGTCGTCGTCGTCGCGACGACGACCGCACCGGCGACGGCGACGAGCGAGAGAAGCAGCGTGAGCGCCGGGAGGTGCGACGCCAGTACCAACTGGGCACCGATCGAACCTGGTGGTGTGCGGTTGCTTGTTGTCATTGGGATCTCCGCTGCGTCGGTGTCGTCTGTCGCGGCGTCAATGTGATCGGCTGCCACGTGGCACACTGGCCTGAAGAAGATCAAGCCGTCTTGGAATATTGAGGTTCGAGCGCCTTGCTGCAGAATGGCCAGCGTGAGCAGCAGCGACGCGCAGAGCACAGCCGCCACGATCATGGCGCTGAGGTCCTCTGGCAGTGCCGCCAGAAAGGGCCCGACCAGATTCATCCGACCTCGTGTGCGTCGAACCAGACTCTTTCTGAGAGGCGTCGTCGCACCGCGAGGCTTCCAATCGAACTGTAGTACCTCAAGTTGGGACGGTTGGGCACAAGGGCGTGCACCAATGAACGAACGCGACGCCGGTGCCGTTGGGACACGCCTTGCCAACGGCCCCACCTCGGACGTCGAGCCTCAAGCCTTCGATGGCCGGTAGGTCGGACCCTGTGCACCCAGCGAGGAGTATACCACGAGGCTGAGAAAGTGGCTGGATAGCGCCTATCATACCCAGGCTACTGTGTACTACACTACTAGTGGAGGGCCACTGTGGCTCTGGACAGGGCGATAAATTTTGGACTGGCGGCTTCTTCTTGGGTGGCTTTTCCCGCCACCCCAGACAGCGCTCGTCCGGACGGATGCGGATGTAGGAGCTCCAGCCAAAGACATCGCAGGTCGAAGTAGAGATTGTGATTCTTGCAGTGCGCTGGGCAGCCGCGTATGCACCTTTGCGCAGTGTCGTGCACTGTACGTGGTGGAAGCCCATTAGCGATATGCACTCGTATGTGTGGAGCGCGATCGGGTCGACGAGCAAGTAAGCACGGGTCTGGCGCGTGTTGCGCATCGAAGCGGCTACCG